AAAAATTCAATGATTGCTAAGAACTATGTATGTCTCTTCAATGGATTTTTTATTCTAGCTCTAATCGAACTCATAAATACAAATTAAACTAGATCATTTTTTTCCTACAATTTATTGCTAATAGATTGACAATGATATTTCATATATATTCTTCTTTTTATTTTTTATTTATACAAGTTATAAATATGAAATATCAAAAGCATTTTTATGCCCATCAGGATCTAGAAAAGAAGATGGAACTTAATTCAGAATTTAAACCTAATACATAGCCTACTGCAAAATATTATGCTTAAATTAGTGAAATAGATACAACATAATATAAATATCTATTCATATCAACATTAACAAGAACTAAAACAACTACATCAATACCAATATGTGATCTAAAACATTTCTTTTGAATACAATTATTTTTGAAATGATAAGTACATAACAATCAAACTTTGTTGTTGAATCAATAAAAGAAAAACATTTTTTTTCTTGTTATATTAATTTTATTTTATCTAATCAGTATAATCAAAATATATTCAATCTTCTCGCACTATTTACTTTTATTGACATAAATTTTAAGCAAAAATAATATTTACAATAAAAGAAAATATTGATGAAAAGTTTTTGGAAGTACAAACGCCCCCTTTATACAAAGGCTGATCAATTTACTACAAGAGAGGCGTGTGGCGTCATTAGTAAAATTATTTGTGATCAGATTGAGTGATTCATAGTCGATATTAAGGTTCAATAAACAAGGTAAATGACAATATTTATCGGCAAGAAATTGTTCAGCATTATCTGCATGAGCACCATGAAAATCGAGATAAATAAGATGAGAAAATATGATCAATGATGTCGATTGTTTCTTGTCCTTCTGTGGTTCTCTAGTCATGATTTGCAACTCTTTCAATAGAGGAAAACTTTGAGAGATAACTTTGAAAAAGTTATGTTCAAAAGGACAGAAGTCGGTCACTATCAGAGATTGAACATTATCAAATATTCCACCTTGAAATGAATTATTTAAAAACTGAAAATTTTTGAATTGGTATGGAAGTGAATAGATGTGGCATCTACTTTTGAATTCATATGGTAATGAATAATAATAACATCTACGTTCATTTTCTCTTGTGAAACTTTCAATATGTGAAGCAACTGGTCCATATTCTTTTCTGCTAAAACTACGTTGAATATCTTCATTTGACGAAAAATCAATTTCAACATTCTTCTTATCTACATTTGTGTGTATATTAAAAGTAAATTTATTTAATCGTGGCATATAAATAAGAATTGAATCATATAATTCATTACTATCAATATAATTTTTGTTACTTCTTATTATTGACAGAAATAATATTAATTCTTCAAGATTTATCATTCGTCGAAGTAATGGAATAATTAAATTATCATATAAAAATATGTGTGGATATGATGTTAATGAGAAATGTTTCAATTTGGGAAGCTTTTTCTATTAAAAAGAAAAGTCGAACAACGTATCTTTAATTATAGAATTCACTGTTTTTTTTTCTCGAAACACAATAGTTGACAATTATACTGACTTTATTATCGATAGTTACTGATGTATATGAAATTATTTTTACATTTATAATCAATGTTGATAAACAATTGAAACGTCCATCAAGTAGATAAAGACAATCATCGAAAGTTTCCACATGAATTTACAATTGAGTTAATGTTGAAGATTTGATATTTGTTAATGATAAGTCAAGAATACAGAACGTTAATCGATTATCCAATTGACAAAAACTTAACTTGATTAATCGTTTACACAAAGATAATATCAAAGCAAACATAATGGAAAGAGTTTCAGGAGATGGCTCTGTTGGCTCATCCTTAACATCAATTTTAAGACATGTTATTTGTTCAATAAGAAGTTTTCGAAAAATTCTATTACCTTCAATTCACAAAAAAAAAATAAATAAACAAATATTAACTTATCTCTAATGATTTTACTATCATATTAAAAGTTAAATTAGTTTACTTGTCAAGTAATTGAAAAGTACTTCTTCTGAAAAATCCGTAAGTGTTAATGAGTAAAGTTGAGGATAATTTATAGTATGAAGAACACGTTCCATTGAATATTGTTCAACAATGAGTTCATTTATTTGATGATAAATTCGAGGTAAAATATTTTTATACATTCTTTCAAGAACTTGATTGTCTATTGAATAGATACGATCGTAAAATGATTTCATTGTCATAGAGGTCATATTAAGATTACGAATATAAAATGAATCAAGTACTAATTGATCAAATCGTTGAGTAATATCCACAAGTGAATAGAGAACATCGACTTTATTCAGTTTGTTACAAATAATCAATAAAATTTCATTAGGCAAATCAAGTATATTGAGGTTATTGTTATTCGATATATTCATGTCAAATTCATTCATTTCAATAGTCTTGTTTATATATATGTATATATATACATATTTTCTCATTGGTGTCGGAGAGAATAATGAAGAATAAATATTCATCTTATGACAAAAGGCTATCATTGATAGTTTTAGAACATTTTTATTTCTGTTGAACATTCTCTTATATTCATTGACAAATCGTTCATCAGGTTATTTGAGAGGTTATTCTTCTTTTGTCACAATATTTCTCATCGTATTAAATTAAATACTTTTTATAATAGATAAGTAATATGTTAATTTGTGAAGAGTCTCACTTAATTCAATCTTAAAAGATGGTAGAAAGACTGTGTGTCTTAGGAAAGTCTACACTATTTAATTTAGTTTTCGTATTTGATGGACTAAAAATAATCTTTCGCGAACTCTGATGTTTGATTTGAATATTTTTAGATTTTGACATAACATTGAATATCAATATTTACCATACCAACCATTTGAGATTCAAGATCTGAGTGATGAGTATGGAACTCATATATCGATAGATATAACTATTATATTAACAAGATTTCAAACTTTAATTCTCTTTTTCTATATATCATATTTGAAAACTTAATAATCAATTTATTATCTTTTTTTTTATTGATAATTGATCATCAACAATTCACTTTTATCATTAACCTAGTTCTAACATTATAATGATCATATCGACAATCGTACACTAACAATTACAATTATGAATGTGAATTTATAGTTTTTGTTATAAATAACAGATCAATAACAAATTTTTTTTTTCCTGACGGAAATTATCAACTAGGATTTCTGTCTATTCATCTAAAAGATTTTATCCAATGACTAAAGAATGAATTTGCTATTGCTATGATATGAATTGATCTAGAATTTTGAGAATTTCCATTGATCACATAGATAGAGATTTCACCGTTCCAAACAATAGTAAATGATCTGTTTTTGAAAAAACTTTCATGATTTGAATCTACTCAACCCTCCCTCATGCGATATGATGATTGAAGTCCAGAGATCTGTCTAATTTCCGTCAAAATGTTCATTTTGAAATATATGATTTATCTTTCTCAACAATTCATTGTAATTTAGAAACATATGGTAATTGTGTGTAGATCAATGCTTATTATTCAAGATCACAATTATTAAGATATAGAACTAACGGGACAACTCACTTCCTATTTTCTAAAATACATGAGAAAATATTCAACTGACATAGTCGTCGAAAGAAAAGAAAAGAGATGCGGACAAAGAAGCGAATTTAATATTAACCCTTTCCAGCCGGCTACTAGAAGACAAGTAACAAAAAAGTCTTTTTATGGATTTTCGTTGCTCCTAGACCATGGAGATAGGAAAAGTTTATTTCTCAGAACCAATAAATGCTTCGGCATCTAATGGCTTCATGTATCCATTTGGATACATTCCCATTTTTTATTATTCGGATTTTTTAAATAATCCGTCTTAGTGATCCAATAGATAGTAGGTCTATGAAGGAAAATTAACAACTGCTTGCTTCGAAGTTTGATTATTTAGAGACACGAGAAAAGGATTATTTCTATACGGACGCTATTTTGGAGCATTTTGGATAGAGCCGGCCATTTTCTTAGTGAGTGTTATTTCCTTCTTCTAAACACGTGAATGTGTGTTGAAATGTGTTAACTTATCAAATCGTCAAAACACTTCATATCATCACTACAAGTTACTTCTTCGTAAAACATTGGCTTCATGTATCCAAATGGATACATCCGGCTGTAAAGGGTTATTGGAAAAACCAAAAAAACGAAATTTCGAGGACAAATTGTGTCTATAAGTCTTATAGTCTGTAGAATATTCAGAAAGTTTCAGTCGAAAAGAATGTTCCTTTGTAGAGATATTAAATTCTCATAAAATAGCTGTTTGTCACAAACATCGAGATTACTTGAAAATTCAATATCTCAAGAGAAGAACATTCCCGAGATGATTATCCTAAATCATTATCTCCTTGTGATTCTATCCGTCAAATGAATCTACTTAAATTAATAAAAATCAACTTTATTTCAATAACTTACGATCATCATCTCGTGTTTTAGTATTTGTTTTATCTTGAATATCTATAAATAAATAAAAAAAAACAAAAACATCATTCCATAGAAATATTTAGTTTCTTAATGTCTTACCTTCTCGTGTTGGTGTTTGATTAAATAAATTTGAATAATTTGGTTGTAAAAAATTTGGTATTGAATATTGACGATTTGATAAACTAAGTTGTGATGGTAAATGTGAATATTTCGCAGCTATTTGATCATTAAGAAATCTTCCAAATAAATCTTCTTTACGACATATTGGTTGAAGTAATTGTGGTCGACATGCTAATGGTAATGAATCATCAATTGTTATTTGAAATGGATCAGGTCCTAATGAACTAAGACATAATGTTGATGATGAACGATGAAAAAATGAATCATTTGATGTTATTAAATTTTCATTATTTTCATTATAATTTTCTTTTCGATATATTATTAATGATTTATTTATTTCATTTAAACCATTTTCACGAAAATAATATATAAATGCATCAAGTAAATAAGCAAAATGTTTATATGATAAAACATCAATTAATGGTTCTTGATCACCATGTTCATGTATTGAACGCATTAATGATAATGAATAATTAAGAAAATCTAGACGATTATTTATTGGTTTATCTTAAGCAAATAAAAATAAAATTTCAATTTGTTTTTATTTCTATTAATTAAAAATAAATGTGACTATAAGATGATTGTCTACTCTCTTTTTTAGGGGAATTACAAAATCACATAAATTTCCACCCGATATCAGTGTCTATAAGTCCAACAGTCATAATCATGATAAATCTGATGGATTCAATCTAATTGTGCTAATTTAGTATAGTGCTGGAAGAGGTTTTTTGAAAACCATTGCGACAGGCTTTCAGCCGCGATGGCCATCATCAACATACAATATCAAGTTTTACTGGATACCGTTGATCTGTCAATAGGTGGTGTCATCTATCGACATGCCTATAATATGCAGTAGAACTTGAGTAAGTCTTACTGTATAAGCCTACATATAACGACTGATGCAAAAGTCTTGGCACAAATGTCGAGACCTGTAGTATTTCAACAGAAAGTGCTAGAGATCTAATTCTTTCACCATTAGATAAACCAAAGTGTGTGCTTTCAAACCCACTTTTTTCAAAAAGTTTTTGATGAAGTTAAGGTTTTCAAATTTCAAATTTTCAAAAACCACTAAAAACGGTTTGTAACTTTTGATCCTTTTTCGCGCTTTTTTTTAATTTAAAACAACAGTATTCTTGTCGAATTAATAGATAATGAGCTTAAACTTCCAGGGAATCAAGTCTGAAGTGTAGGGTTTTTCAAAATCTCACTCCGAAATTTGTGCGTATCCATGGTAATCCGCAATCAGACTTTTAAGCGAAAGCACGGTAGTGTTGGGTTTTTGGTGCGCAATTTAGGTATTTTTAGGAAGACCAAAAATTTTTAATTAGTCCAAAAGATGCTGTTTTTCAAGACCTTTCAGAATCCATATGAAAAACTGGGAATAGACGTTTTCATCTCCTGAAAATCAGCTAAACACTACTAATGAACAAAATAGTGCTTTGGCGCCAATTTCGTCATAATTAAATCCACTTATAACTCAGCCAGACTATGTTTGATTGAACCAAGCTTTG